TGAAAAAAGTAATCGGATTACAGTAACGCGTTACAAGTAACGCGTTACTGCCCATCTCTGAACCCAACAATGAAATACATAAAACTAACAGGGACTGCATAGCTATCCCAAGCCTGACATACACCAGCTACTTTGCTAAGTAAATCTGTTGAGTTGCTTGTTGATACAACTATCAGCTAATCCCATACCAACTCAGTGATTTAGGCATCTAGACACATTCAAGATTATCTGCTGAAGTTCAAACCAAGTATCAGAATGGGGAATCCAGGTGATCTAAGTGACTTTACTAAAGTATGGTTGTTGGTGTCAGATAGGCTGGTCTGAGAAATTTAGAAACAAATGATCTGCTGTGATTTCCCCACACAACCATTTCTGTGTTTTACAGAGAATGGAAAAACACAACATATCCAGTGAGCAGCAGTTCTTTGGGGGGAATACTTTGTTGATGTTAGAGGTCAGAATAGAACGGCCAGACCACTTCAGGATAATAGGAAGGCAGCCAAAGTTCAAACTGTTGCCTTCCACTTGTTACAAGCACGGTATACAGAAGAGCATTTCTGATAACACAACATGTCAAACGTTCAAGAAAATGTGCTACAACAGCTGAAGACCACACCAAGTGCCATTCATGTCAGCTAAGAACATGAAATTGAGGCTACAAATCCCACAGGCTCATCAAAATTAGACTGTAGAAGATTAGAAAAACATTGCTGCAACATTCAGAAGGTAAGGTGAGAATTTGACATTAGAAGTGTGAAAGTATAAATAGTAAATTAAGTGGTTCTTGTAGACCGCCCTTCTGTTCTACTCAAAGTGCTTTATACAACATGGCCCATTCGCTCATTCATACAAGTATTGTTTTCTACACATAAGTGCTTTCTATCTACCATACTCCATGGAAGACATGGGAGAGCAACTTGGGGTTCAGTATCTTTCCCAAGGATACTGAGACATGCAGACTGGAGACCAGAGGAGCCAGGGATCGAAACACCAACCTTCCGATTGGCCTCCTGAGCTACAGCCACCCACTGATAAATTATTAAGTATTAATGGTTCAGGCTGCTGCTGGTGGTGGGGGATATTTTCTTGGCACACACTGGGTGCCTTAACACCAGCTTTAAGAAGGTCCAACCCATTACTCTCGAGATGGACCTTACAAATAGGCTAGTGAATGTATAACGTTGTTGTAGAGCTGTGCATTTGAGGAACTGCATCCACAGAGGTTGCAACTTGGTTCCAAGCAAATATTGAGCATATTATAAATCTTACTTGGGATAACTTAAATTAATTCATAATAACTTAAAGAATTTTATGGAAGTCTTCCCAAATGACCACATGCCAACAGAAATATGATTTTTTTTCTCAAATATAAGGATACGAAGGATACCCTAGCCCTAACCCTACTGTTGAGCTGGCAAAATGAAATTTTAATTTAAGGAAAGTAATGTAATGTGCCACATTTACTTTTTTCATAATATGTCGTTGACCCAAAAATCACAGCAACAATAAGAGTCCATTTACTAATTTAGTCCTAATTTATACAGCTCTTTGTTATCCATGATACCAGCTAAAAAGTCTTATAAATGCACATGTGAAAGGAAGTTAAATACAGCAATGGCTCATGTCAACCGTTACGTAATAGCTCTCATCTGCAGAGTCATGACTTAATATTTACTGCTGTACATAAATGTAATACAGTGCAATATATTTCTGTCTTTGTTCATGTGCAGCAGCAGAGCAGTGACCATGGACTTCTATCTGCAAGTTTCCTGCTAACAGCAGACGAGCAGAGGGCGGGACAACCGTCCACAACTTCCACCAGCACCAACTTTCCAGTGAGTCGAAAAGAAAGAGAGAGAAAGAGACAGAGGCAAGAGAGAGGACAAGAGCAAGAAGGAGAGAGGAGAGCGGGTGAACACAGTCGATGGATGCTGTCCGGATCGAGGGGACAGCACGTTCTTCACTGACGAGGAAAAGAAAGATTTCAAAATTGAGTCGAAGGATAGAAACTCGCCGTCAGGTAGGTCTCACTTTGTCACTCTCTGCACCGTCAGGTTTAGCACGTTTGTGTCTGTGAAAAGGAAACTTTTAACACAACAGAAATATCTGTGGAGGTAACTCTGTGATACTGAGACAACTTTCTGTCTTTCACACTTGCCTGGTTCAATGTGAAAGGCTGTAAGTGAATTATGTAATGTGTGAGTGTATACATGGATGTTTGTATGTAAGAGGTTCACCAACATTGCCTCTGTAATAGAAGTAGGTGCAAGGTGATCCCATGTTTCATCTGCTCTGTGTGTGTGTGTGTGTGTGTGTGTGTGCATCGAGTCCTGCTGATACCGAGGGGGAGAACATTGTCAGGGTCATGAATATGGAGTAGACTGAGTTTGGGAGGGTGAGATCTGTTGTGCTTCACATCAATTCTGTCTTGTTAAGCAGAGTCAGCAGAGTCATCAAACTCTCCTCCAAGGACACATCATAGAGCCACTTATGCACCTCCCACATCCGCCTACACCTCGCGCTCATCTTTTCTCATCGCCTCCCTCTCTCCCTCCCACCGGTGCCCCTCGCCTCCTCCTGCTCCTCATCATCTCACCTTCTTTGTTTGCTGTCTTTTTTAATAAACTGCACTTTGTTAAGTTCTTCCTTGTTCTCCTGCTCTTCGATAAATGCTTTTTATTTGCACTCCCGATGCCCACTCTCTCCAACTTTCTGGTTTCTTTTAAAGGCATGGTGTGTGAGAAGGGGATCCAGATCCTTCTCACCACCGTGGGGGCATTCGCTGCCTTCGGCCTGATGACGGTGGCAATAGGCACGGACTACTGGCTGTACTCCCGTGCCCTCATCTGCAACAGCACAGCCAACGTGACCCAGGATGACCCTCATAATAAGGACAAGAAGGACCCTGGTGCTCTCACCCACTCCGGTCTATGGAGAATATGCTGCTTGGAAGGTAACAAAAGAACTTTCATGGACAGGAATCTGTGTGCGGGATTTGGACTTAAGTAGACGCATGTTTGAGAAAGTTTGAAGTTTATAGCTACTTTCTGGATCTTTAGGTTCATATTCAACTGAGAGAGATAATAGAGAGTGGACGGGCACTCACAGTATTGTGTGACTTTAAGTTATGGTCGTGGTGGTTTCAGACTGGATGCTGTGCAGACAGCAGATGAACTGAACCACTGTTTAAATCACATTAATCACTGCATGTAGTAATTTTGATACTCTGTTTATTATACTGTATTTATTGGCTCTTTTTTTAATTTACTATATTCAACTATTTAACCTTTAAGCTGGTGGCCTGAAACCCGCTCCTGAGGTCCAACTAAAAAATCGTATCTCATTGAAATGTTAAAGCTTATAAATGGGAATACATTTCCCATTATTCAGTCACATATTTTTTTAATAGTATGCATTGTTCTTCTGTTAAATGGGATCAGAGTCTAACAGCAAGAACCTCTCACTTGACTTTAGAAAAACGTTGTTCAGGAGGGCGCAGCACTGCAGCAGCACCAACATACACATTTCATTTGTATTTGGTCGACCGTGCCACAGGGCCAAAAAAAACAATTTTGCATAATTGCAATATAATTACGTGATACTGAAGCGTAACCCTCATCCAAAATAATCCATTAATCATTGTCTGTGATTCAGGATGCATTCATTCAAGTCAATTGCTGAAACAAAAGCCTCTGTTCACCCATCGGCTTCTCATTTCAAGTGGCGGAAGATACAGAATCTGGCAGCAACCATCTCTCAATCTTCACTTCTTGTGTCACTGCAACACAAGCTGCTAATTCATTATACATTACACTGCCTGCCTGACACTCTACAGTAAAAGCTGGGATGGAGTTAACAGTGAAGAAGCAAAGGGGTGGTGTGAGTTTGCGATCTGTGCTTTTGCTCACATGCAGACTGAGGTAAAAGCTTTTTTTTGTCTCCAGGAAAACCGCTTGGCTCTCTTTATAAAGCATCCCTGGCCCATCCTGGGCTTGGTCATTGTACAAAGCTAATTTGTCCTCATCTCTAAGCTTCCTGATAGCAAAGCAGCCAATTAGAGATAAGCTCTAGCCCTTGCAGCTCTGCTGCAGTGCACCCCCACCCACTCTTTCCCTCACCCCTCTCTCTCTCTCAGTTTTTTCCACTTGCTATCCCTCTGCCTTCCTCCCCCAAACATTTTTACATTTCATCTTTCGCTGGTTTGTCCTCATCTTTGCCTCCTTGTAGTTTCCTCTCGTTTTCAGCCTTTTCTGCTGCAGTAAAGCTGACAGAGTCTTGGCGTGGCTTAGAGGTCAAGTATCCTTGATGTCTGTGGAGTATTCAGCCAAGATAGATGCTCAGTAGTTGTGCAGTGATGCAGTGAGGTGTAGAAGGGGTGGAAATGCAGGACATGCTAGCTCCAAAAGATTTATGCCTGCAGGTGGGTGGCTGTGGATTTAGACGTGTCCTGTCCTCTTCTCCCCTCTGCAGACTCATTCAAGGTGGGGTTGCACTGACTTACCAGTCAATGAAGATTTTATCTGTCTGTGTGATTTTTTGTTAGATAATCCCACAAATGTGTGAGCCCGTTACTGAACATGTCAGCTGCCAGAGTCACTTAGCACAGCTGTGTTTGAGGTCATGTAGTGAGATAATATTGGAAGCACGTTCACATACACTCATTGAATACTTTATTCAGTTGACCCTTTTGTCTTCAGAGCTACCTTAATTATTTCCTGGCACAAATTCAACAAGGTGCTGGAAATGTTCCTCTGAAACGTTGGTCCATATTGGAATGACAGCGTCACACAGCTGATGGGAATCCATGAAATGAATTGAGAGATGTATATATTGGTTGTAATGAGGTTTATTACATGAAGCAGTCCTCTGTCCTCTCATATCAATGAAGCATTTTCACCTAAAGAACTGCTACACATTGGATGTTTTCTGTTTTTCAGACAATTCTCTGTAAATCCTAGAGATGATTGTGTAGGAAAATCCCAGCAGATCAGCAGTTTCTGAAATACTGACTAGCCTATTTGGCTACTGAAACGTCACTTTTATTCACTCTCTCTGCCTCTTAGGGTAGCAGACCACATGAACCAGTGTTTCTTTCTGTTTTAGATATAGAATACTCTAAGAACGTGTGTGCATAAGCTGGTATTTTCACAGTCCTGGATTTGTGGTTTAATAAAGGACGATGGAAAATGCCAACATAGAATAATGCAGGGTTTCAAAAATGCCTGATCCATGTGGCTCATCCAATATTTGACTCCCATTGTACCACCATCTGTTTCTTTACAGACCTACCTGTGGAAATGTAGGAGCACTGAGAGACCATCTCACCCCACATCTGTTCGTCTCTCCCTCAGTCTGTGTCTCTTCATTTCATCACTCCACCTTTCTCAAAATCCATCCACCAACAACAGTGGTGGGCTGTCATCATCGTTCCGTGCGTCCCTCCGTTCGTCTGTCTGTCTACATGCAAGACCCCGCCGGGTAGTTATCGGTCTGCCTGTGTGTCTGCTTGTATGTATTTACGTTGTGCCTGTGCGTTCACTGTGTGTTTGTGACATTACTAACATAAGCTGTAATTACAACGAGAGTCATTAACCTCTATGATGTTCCTAAACAATATACCCAAATTTACCATTCAGCGCATTTGCTTGGATTCATTTTCGAATCACGGTACAACATTTTCCAGGTCAATCAGTCTTTTCATCAAGAGGATAGAAACTGTTGTCATAAGGCTTCAGCTTTGAGTTGTTGCCTTTTGTTGAGTCTGGTCACCATTTTTCTTCTTGTCTGTCTCAGGAGTGAAGAGAGGAGTGTGCTCTCAGATTAACCACTTCCCAGAGGATGCAGACTTTGACCATGATGGGGCAGAGTACGTCCTACGTAAGTTACCTGAAGTGCCAGACATGGGTGATGTAGAGGGGGAACAAACAAACAACCTGAGAACTAATTAAGAGCAAAGTATAAAATGACGCCTTGATGCTTTAAACTTGGCATTTTATTGCTCATTCTCTCAATCACATTAAGAAATAAACACGTGACAAGGTTTACAAAGCCATGAGAGAAGGGGTGCCCTAGTTCATGCTCAGTGCCCTGCAGTCATGTCTTTCTGCACTGATATGATGCATGTGTGCCCGTGCATACGTAAAGAAAAGCTTGTGCTCTGTTTACAATGTTGCAGAGGCATTTTGCTGGCATTTAGGTGGCATTTTCTCTCCTGTGGCCTAGTTGTCCTAGATGAGAGAGGCGTGTTAATGTGTGTGTGTGTGTGTGTGTGTGTGTGTGTGTGTGTGTGTGTGGTT